ATTATTATTTTAACTTTATTTATTATTATTTTCCAATTCGACCAGAGAGAGACCAAAAGAAAGAGGTAAAGTGAGAAGGGCAGTCACCAGGTCTGGGATGTGAACCACAGTTGGCCCTGAGGGAGTCCAGCATCTTTAACCATCACAACACCTACCGGCCCCAGAAATGTTTCTTGAAAAGCCAGAAAATCTGGGAGCAGCATGTTGAGTATGTCCCTAGCCACTTCATCTTTATGATTCTATAATGTGAAAGCTGCCATGTTAAATTCAGGAATCTGCTCCAGCAGCTGTGCTTTGATAGACTTTTCTACCAAAGAAATATATATACATATACATACATATATATATTTATAATTATTTTATTTATCATTTTTTTTTAAAACTTGATCAGAAAGAGAGAGAATGAGAAAGAAAGCAAGCAAGCCACCAGGTCTAGGACTTGAACCATGGTTACCCATGTGGAAGTCCAATGCCTTAACCACCACACTATCTGCTGGTCCCCAAGAAGTATTTTTATCAAAATTAGGTGTTTTGGTGAGTTTATTCTCTTCTGTGTCTTCAAACTCTTGGTAGTTGATGAAATTTCTCTGTAATAACTGGAACATCATCCATGATAATGTTCTTGTAATATCCAACTTCTGCATAACATTCTGCATCAGAGATGGAAGACAGTGAAAACTCTTTCTCTATGACGTCCATTGCCAATGCCACATGCACCAGCAGGGGGGAATGGTCCGTCTACCTCCTACTCTCCAGTACCCTTGGTCAAGACTCCAAGAAGCCCCAACCTGCATGGAGGGCACAGTGCTCAGCAGACCAAGAGAAGGCCTCACAGTCCAGGCCATAATCTGCTCACTGCCTTGCCTGGTCAGCTCTTGTGTCTAGGGTCAGGCCTCAGGTTCTGTGGCTACAGCCCCATGCCAGCTGGACCTAAATACCTTGCCAGACTGTACCACTGATGTGGGTCTCGATGTTGGTCACCAACTCAGCTTGCACAATTCTGACTGAAAAATCAAAAAGCTGAGCAAACTTTCTGCTCGAAGGTACCAAAATTTTTATGCCCAGATCAACTGCACATGAGAGCAGGCCTTTCAATGAAAACTTTTAAACAGGTGGGATCAAGACCCTGAAGCATTTATTTCGAGAAACTGTAACAGGAGGCAACATGTGGCTTTACCAGTAAGATCCTGAAGACAAAGCACAATCAATGAAATGGCTGTGAAGACGTGAAGGTGGCCCAATCAAAGCACAGTGCACTGGTCAAGAACAAAGGTCATGGCAACAGGTTTTTTTGGATGCTCAAGGGATTCTGCTTACTGACTTTTTGAAGGGTCAAAGAGTGATAACATCTGCTAATTATGAGAGTATGCTGAGAAAGTCTACTGAAACCTTAGCAGAAAAATGACTGAGAAAAGCTTCAACAGAGTCTTTCCCCACCATAACAATGCTCTTGGCTGATTCCTGCCATCAAACAAGGGTGATTTTGCAAGAGTTTTGATGGGAAATCGTTAGGTATCTACCTTACGAGTCCTGATTTGGTTCTTCTGACTTTTTGTTGCTTCATCTTAAAAAAAAAGAAAAAAAAAAGAAGACGACCAAACTTTTAAAAGGCACCCCTTTTTGTTCAGTTAATAATGTAAAAAAGGACTGCATTGACATGGCTAATTTCCCAGGACCCTCAGTTTTTTATTTTGAAGAGAGATTTTTGCTACGTGGCACATGTGCTCACCAAAGAGACAGAGAGAGACAGAGAGACAGAAAATGAGAAATCATCCCCCGGGGGATGGCCACACTGCAATTAATTCTCTTCCATTCTTCTCTCAGGATTTTGGGTACGTATTCACATGCACACCCAGCGTGAATTTTAAGCTGCTGGGTCTGGGACTTGAACTGTGGCTGACTATGTGGGAGTCTAGCAACATAACCATTCATTATGCCATCTGCTGGTCCCTGGACCCTTAGTTTTTAGGGGTGAACTAAGTGGTTGGTATCATCACTTATGCATGTGTTGAACGATGGAGCACATGTTGAGAAATGAAGTGTGTGTATATATATGAAGTGTATACACACACACACACACACACACACGTATTTTTTGTGGTGTGTGTGTGGATTTTTTATATAGGGTATGTGTGCTTACCAGACACAAAGAGAGAGAGAGAAAGCAAAACATCACCCCCAGGGGGATGGCCATGCCACAATTTTCTTTCATTCTCCTCTTGGGATTTTGGGCATGCACACACATGCACCTGGCTTGAGTTTCAAGCTGCCAGGTATAGGACTCGAATTGTTGACTGACCATGTGGGAGCCCAGCACCCCAACCACTATACCACCTGCTGGACCCTCTCTATATATTTTAAAGATTTTACCATGGCGAGTGTGTGCTTGCTGGAGATAAAGTGAGCGGGAAAGCGAGAAATCATCCCCCAGTGGGGATGGCCACATCAGTCCCTCCTCTGTTATCCTCCTGGGATTCTGTGTGCACACGCACACAAGTCCGGGGTGATTTTCAGGCTGCTAGGTTCAGGACTTAAACTACAATTGGCCATGTGGGAGTCCAGAACCTTAAGCACTACATTACCTACTGGCCCTGAGAAATAAAGTTTATATTTTTAATTTTTATTGTTTAATTTCTCTCTTTATAAACCTTCTGAAGTCTCAAAGAAGCTCCAGATTCTTTTTTTTTTCTTTTTTAAACGGCAAAGAGTATGTGCATGTGTATAAGAGAAAAGCACTTTTGACATGGTCTTACCATGCTCTCACCTCCCCTCTAGTTTCTCAGGATTAGGAAGTGTCCATGTAGATGCCCAAGGTGTTTGCACACTATCCTGTGATTCTGAACCCTGCTTGGCCACATTAAGCCCCCAATTCTAACTAACCCCTTGAGACAATATCCAGGGATATGCACAAAACTCAATATATATTTTTTTCTGTTGTTAATTTGTCTTCTATCAGTTCAATGAGCAGGTCCCAGCCATTGAATTTGGGAGGGGAGATGAAGATATCACTCAGAGTTTCCACATTTTTAAAAACAATGTTCCTTTACAAGGCAATGGAAAAGAAAAAGGGCAGAAACCATATTTGAAAAGGTAACAGCTGCAGAATCAAAACTGATGAAAGGTGCCAGTCTAGAAACTTAATAATAATGATCTACAAAGTAGAAGGGGGACAAATATGAAATGGGGTAAGACAACACAATGAACAGCATGTAATAGAACTACAGGTTATCAAGTAATGGCATTATCAGATCATGATTCAAAAGAGCTCTGACTTACATGTCCTAAAAATAACAGGAAGGTGGGAACTGTGCTGGAGAACCGGGATCTGTAATAGAAAGGCTGACTGGCTCGGCTGCAGGGGCACAGGCAGTGGGGCACCACTGCACGCTACTGGGGCTACATGGGGTCCCAGGTCACTGAACATGCGGGGTGCTCCCAGGTGTGCCCACAATCCCAGGCTGGAAGGCTTGGGGGTGTGGGTCATGGAATGATGAGACTCCGTTGAGGGTGCCTGTTTCTCTCTCTTTCCCCCTGCTCCCTCCTTCATGAAGGAAAAAAAAAACTTAAAAAATAACTTTTGTTTGGCAGTTCAGGGAAGATGGGAGTAGATGTACTTTTCTTCATTCCTCCTGCTAAATATAACTAAAAACCCTGGGCATTAATAAAAAAAGGAGCATGGGAAGACTCTGAAAGGTGCAGAGGAGGAGGCAGGCTGGCTAGGGCCTCTAGGACCCAAATAATGATGTGGTGAGTTCCACTTTTTTTTTTTTTTTTGCCACCGGGTCCGGGACGCGAACCGTGGTCGACTACGTGGGAGTCCAGCGACATAGCCATTACGCTAACTGCTGGTTCCCTTTTTTCTTTAAAAAAAGTCATCTCCATATTCCAGATTTGGGACTAAAAAAAGCTGGCAAATTGGAAATGCTAATGGGCTCAGATTTAAAACAAAACAAAACAAAACAAAAAACAAAAAGGAAGTGATAAAAGGCCTGCTGTCTCGAAGCAAAGGAAAGGAGCAACCTCGCAAGACAAAACATTCAGACAACCCCTCTACTACAGACAACTACCACAGAAGAGACGCGACTCTGTCCCCACCTATACTAGCAAAGGTCACATTTCCCTCATTCTTTCTCAAAGAAACCAATCCTTCGGGTTTCATCATAAATTATTTTAATTGCTGGAGAGCACAAGCACTCACCAGAGAGAGATGGGGGCAGTGGGACATGGTCACACCCCTATCTCTTCACTTCCATTTCTCTATCCTGTTGAGATCCTGGGCACACACAAACATACGCTCCGTGTCCCTCTTAAGTCACTGGGGTCAGGCCTGTGTGGGACTGTCTCTCCCTATCACAAGGCTCTGGGCCAATCTGTCATCATCATTTTAATGAACTATTTATGTGAGTCTTTCCCATTATGGTAAATTTGATGAGGGTGAGGATCGTATCTGTTTTTGTCCACCCTTGCATTCTCAAAGCCTAGAACTTTTAGATAATAGGTACTTAATATATTTGTTGAATAAATTAAATAAGCATTTTAATCCCTGTACAGTACCAAAACATAATGATGTTTTCAGGAATGACTAGTAAACTTAAGACAAAGACCACAAATCATCACAATTCCACTGCCTTAGCTTCTCTTT